CCAATAATTAGAAAGATAAATATTTCCGTAGTTTTCTTCTTGTAAAATTTTAATAATTTCTTTAAACGTGTTAGGCAATATAATATCATCATCACTAAATATCCAAACATATTTACCCTTTGCCAAAGAAAAACATTGTTCAATATTACCATCTATACCTAAATTTTTATCATTTACAATATATTCAATAGGATTTCCTTCTGATTGAAATTTCTGTACAATTTCCTTGGTATTATCAGTAGAACAATTATCAGATATAAGTAAATCTATTTTATCGTAATACGGCTGTACCTGAGGCAATAAATGCTCCAAACACTTTTGCAAATAGCCTGCACGATTATACGTAGGTATTGTAATGCTCAACAAGGGTTTATTAATTAACATTGTAATGCCAAAGTTTTTTCTTTTTAGTAAAAATTATATAACCTCCGATAGTTGCAAAAGTTATAACTATAAAATAGCTGACTGCCATAGCTGTTAAGTCTAAATATTTGCCACTTAAATAAATAAGTAAAATACTTAATAAACCACTTAATATAGAAATGATTAAGTAAGGTTCTTTTTTATGGCAACGCAAGTATGTAGCTAAGGAATTATTGATAAACATCGGTAAAGATGTAAGCATAATAATTGAAAACGGAAGTAATGGAAGTAAACGTTCTTTAACCGCTAAATCAAAAGAATTAATAATGTAAGCACCTGCTATCACAGCTAAAACAGCAAGGCAAAGTATAGAAACAGATTGCTTTAATGCAGTATTAAAAACATCATCCAATCTACTGTATTCTTTTCTCGAAATAAGTTCAGAAAAAAGAGGAACTTTAGTCGCTATCCAAGTATTTACTAATCCGAAAAGCCCATATAATATAGCCAATGTCATCCCCATTTGTCCTGCAGCTTTGGCACCAAAAAAAGAGAATATGACAGGATTCATTATTTGAAACATAAAATAACCACTAATCCAACTTAGAGCCATTTTTGCTTGATATGGAAAGATTTCATTTCGCCAACTAATTTTATTTGCATCAGAAAAATTATTCCAAATATTTCTTATCAAAAATTTATTGTCTGTGTATAAAAGCCATAAGAATAGAAAAACAATATTAAATAATCCAGATATGGAGGCAGCATACAATTTAGCTCCTAAATACAATGCCGCAAGATAAAGAATAGTAGGAATAAATGATAGATAAAATCGCAATTTTGCTATTTGTTGAATTTGACCTAATCCCTCAAAAAAAGCAAAAAGAGGGGATACAAATAAACTAATTGCTGTACTGATGCATATCATTGCCCAAGGTATTTGCCATGAAACATTGGTTTCGTTTTGACTGTGTATAAAAAAATAATATCCAGTAATTAATAAAGTTACAAACAAGCCTAAAGACATAACACTAAACCATTTTATGCAAAGCCTAAGGAGTGATGAAAGCCTATGTTTATATAATTCATCACCTTCTATTTTTTTTTGAGTAATAGTTAAATGTGCTTTTTCATGCGCAGCGTATTGTGTAATAATTGCAGAAAAACCTAGCTCAAAAAAAATTTGTAGAGCTGTAATACTTGCAAATGTATAGTAAAATCCCTGCTCTTGTGGACTCAGATATTTAGATATAAACAAAATGCTAATAAATCCTTTTACCGCATTTACAACTTGAGTAAACAAAGTATAAGATATAGTCAAATTAATACCAAGGGTATTAACCAAAGTATTTTTGATAATTTTACTAAAAAAGAAATGATCTATTTTAGCCATTCAATCATTTCTTTTATACCATATTCTTTATTTCTATCAACACCAAAGTCAAACTGCTTGTCTGCCTTCCGAAAATCCGCCATAAAAACCATTTGGTCACTTTTTCTAAAAGGCAGTTGCGTATAATTCATTTTAATATCTAATTCCTTTTCCAAGAATGTAAATAATTCCAACAAAGATAAACTATTCTCCACACCACCACCAATATTATATATCTGTCCTTTAGTTTTTTCAATATTATCAATAGCTTTAAAATAACATTGAATCAAATCATCTGCAAAGAGAATATCCCGCACTTGCTTCCCCGTCCCTGAAATTGTAAAAGGTTCTTTTAGCTTTCCATTTTTTATATCCAATGCCTGTTTTACAAACCAACCAACCCAACCTTGGTCAATGGTAGAAAATTGCCGCCCACCAAAAATAGAAGAATGACGAAAAACTATCGTTTTTAAACCAAACATTTTGTGATAGTCTTTCATATATTGGTCAGTTGCTCCTTTTGAACAACCATAAGGCGATTGAAAATCTAAAGGCAACGTTTCATCAAAGCCATTTTCATAACCCTTTGCAATATATCTTGTCGGTGTTTCTATATATTCAATCCATTCTAAATCACCATATACTTTATTCGTAGAAGAATAGGTAACAATGGCTTCAGGCACAAATTTCCGAACACTTTCTAATAAGTTATTTCCGCCCAATACATTTATTTCAAAATCTAAACGAGGATTTGCCAAAGAAGTTGTCATTGCTACTTGTCCTGCTAAATGAAAAACAACATCAGGTTTTGCATCTTTAATCGCATATTCTACATCATTATAAGAACGAATGTCAGACCGATAAAATTTAAAATCTCCTTGTTCTTGCAACCATTTTAAGTTTTGCTCACTTCCGTATCTAAAAAGATTATCAAAAACAAATAGTTCTTCTCCTCTTTTAAGCACTTCCTTTGCCAAATTAGAACCAAGAAAGCCGCAGCCTCCTGTAATAAAATATCTCATATTATTCTTTTATCACGTTTAATAATCCTTGTTCAATGTTAATTTTTGGTATCCACCCAAGTTGTTTCAAGGCGTGGTTATTAACTTCTACGGTCATCATTTCTCCGCTTCGGTATGGTAAAGCACCAAAGTTTAAATAAGTCCGTACAGTACCATTTTGCTTTTCGTAACTTTCTTTAAGTTGCTCGATAAATATTTTTACAGTAGTTAGATTTCCTGTACCAACATCAAATGCATTAAATGATGCTAATTTTGCCAAATTGTCAAGAGCTATCAGGTATGCTGAAACCACATCATCAATATAAATAAAATCACGTTGTTGTTCTCCTTTCGTCAGTTTAATTTCTGATACATTTTCTTGAAATTGAGATAATATCCAAGACACGAATTTAGTAGCATCATCTTTAGTGCCATAAATATGCTCTAACTTGAGATTTATTACTTGAATTTTATCAGATTGTTGTTTTAGCCATTCTACAAACTGCTTTTTAGAAAGCGTATAAACATTTAAATGCTTTTGTAATAAGGTGTCGGTGTTGAAAAAGGTGTCAGTGTTGAAAAAGGTGTCAGTGTTGTATTTTAAACAAGCATCTAAAACATTCAGACCAAACATCAAATTAGTTTCAACAATGGTACTTATTGAATCTCCATTACGCCCATAATGGCAAGCGGTATGAATCGCAATATCAATACGTTGTTCTTTAAAAGCAGCCTCTATTGGTTGTACATCAATATCATAGCTTTTTACTTCGTTTATTAAATGTTGAATACGCCATAAATTAGAAGTAGAACGTTTGAGTATTACAACATTATAACCATGTTTTAATAAAAATTCCAGCAAATGACTACCTAAAAACCCGGTAGCTCCTGTTAATACAATTCGCTTAGGCATTAGCACCAATAAAAGTATTTAAAGTAGAAACCATATACTCATAATGTCCCACATTCAACCCAGGCCAAACACCCAACCAAAAACTTCTATCCATGATAATATCCGTATTGGTCAAATCACCTACGATGCGTTTTTGAATATTGTGATACGCAGGTTGTTTTATCAAGTTTCCGCCAAAAAATAAACGTGTGCCAATTTTATTTTCTTCTAAATATTGCACCAATTCATTTCTATTAATCGGACTATGCGCTCTTATCGTAATCATAAAGCCAAACCAACTTGGATTACTATTCGGCGTAGCTTCGTGCAAGATAAAATGCTCCTCAAAAGGCTTAAGCATTTGATACAACAATTGATGATTTTCTCTACGCTTGGCAACAAAACTATCTGCTTTTTTGAGTTGACTTAATCCAATAGCTGCTTGCATATCGGTCACTTTCAAGTTAAAACCAATATGCGAATAAGTATATTTATGATCATAGCCACAAGGCAACTCTCCCAAACACCAATCAAACCTTTTACCGCAAGTATTATCTTTACCCGGTTCGCAATAGCAATCGCGTCCCCAATCCCTAAAACTTCTGGCTATTTCCGTTAGTTTCCAATTATTGACCAATACCGCACCACCTTCGCCCATCGTAATATGATGTGCAGGATAAAAAGAAACCGTAGATAAATCACCGAAAGTTCCTGTTTTTTTATCCTTATAAGTTGCACCCAACGAATCACAATCATCTTCTATTACCCATAAATTATATTTTTCAGCTACCCGCATGACTTCTTCCAAATTAAAAGGATTGCCCAGCGCGTGTGCTATCATAATGGCTTTTGTCTTTGGCGTAATGGATTCTTCTATACGTTCCGCTTTTATATTATACGTCGGAATATCCACATCAATAAATACGGGTACGCAACCATATTGTATTATTGGGTTAATTGTTGTCGGAAAACCTGCTGCTACCGTAATTACTTCATCGCCTGGTTTTATTTGTCGTTCTCCTAATTTGGGAGAAGTAAGCGTATAAAAAGCCACAAGGTTAGCAGATGAACCCGAATTGACTAAAATAGAAGTTCTTGAACCAAAATATCGTGCAAAATCTCTTTCAAACCTGGGTCCAAATCTTCCTGTTGTAAGCCAACCATCTAAAACGGCATCAACACCAAATAGTAAATCATCGGCATCAAGAACCTTCCCTGTTACAGGGATATAGTGCTCACCCGGTATGATAGTTTGCGTTGTTTTTGCCGTTGCAATGGCTCTAAGTTGTTCTTCTAAATTGTCGTTGAAGTTTTTGAATGGCATTTATACTTCTTTGTATTGATTAATGATATATTGTAACACACCTAATAATTGTGGTAAATTTCCTAAATAATAACGTTCTGTATCTATAAAAAGGGTATCATGTTCCAATTTTAAAAATACCCATTCGAAAGAGTTAGTGACTGATCCATAAATAGTTTTAAAATTGACACCGCTGCTTTTTTCATTAAAAATCCTTGCGCCAAGCATTTGAGCAGCACATTGTCCTAATCCGTTTTCAATGTTATCATTTTTTGCTTCTACCAAATTAAAAATAGGTGTTGTCAATTCTTTGGTATTGGTAGTAGTGCTAAAAATAAAATCACACTCACCGTTTAACCCAGCTTTTTTATCTGCTGTAAGTACATATCCCGAGAAAAATGAAAATTGAAAGTCATTATAAACAGTCAAAAACTTTAAAATTGGCGTAACAAATAACTCCGATTTTGCCTTTTCAGTCAAATATGGCATACGTTTGCTTTGCTCTAATTCCACCAATAAGTGTTGATTGGGTGGTATATTTTGTAATGTAACAAACTCAAATAAATTAATTTCTTTAAGTTCAATACTAAATTTTTTAGAAAAAGTATTGAGCGAAAATTGCCTGTACGCCATTATAAATATACTTTAATTTGTGATTGTAAAAAATCCAAAGCATTAGTTTCCGCAAATTTATAAAAATCTATCGTTTTTTCTATTGCTTCACTTGCTTTCCATTTTGGAAACCATCCTAATTCATTGTTTGCCAATGCAATATCCAACTTTAATAAATTGGCTTCGTGTGGCTGGTTTTCTAACAAAGGTACATGATAATTGCCACCTCCCCATATTTCAATCGCTTTTTTTACTAAATCTTCTACGGTAAAAGTATCATCGCTGGTTGGTCCAAAGTTATAGGCTTTAGCATATTTTGTAGGATTTTCCGTAAGTTTTGCACCTAATAACAAATAACCGCTTAAAGGTTCTAACACATGTTGCCAAGGGCGTACAGCTTTAGGGTTTCTTACTTCAATGCTTTTGTTTATCTGCAATGCCCTAATAATATCGGGAATTATTCTATCTTTTGCCCAATCTCCACCACCAATTACATTTCCCGCTCTCGCAACTGCTATTGCTTTTTGATGTTTTTCATAATTATTTGGATTAAAAAAACTGTTTCTATATGATGAAATAATGATTTCTGCTGCTGCCTTGCTCGCGCTATAGGGGTCGTGTCCGCCTAATCTATCGGTTTCTCTATACGCATAATGCCATTCTTTATTTTCATAGACTTTATCCGTAGTAATCATGATACCAATGCAAGGTTTTTCTAAAAACCGCATGGCATCTAATACGTTTGCTGTTCCGATGGCATTAACTTCAAAGGTTTCTGTGGGTATTTCGTAAGAAAGCCGCACCAAAGGCTGTGCCGCTAAATGAAAGATAAAATCTGGCTGAAAATCTAATATTTCTTTTTTTAAACGTTCTTTATCTCTAACATCTGCTATGACGGATTGACAAAGCCTATCCCCTTGTATGGAATTATACAAATCATATTCATTTTCAGGAGCAAGTGCGTAACCTTTTACTTCCGCGCCCAATAGGTGCAACCAAGTTAAAAGCCAAGAGCCTTTGAAGCCCGTATGACCTGTAAGAAAGACTTTTTTACCTTTGTAGGTTTGTTTAAATATTTCTTTGTGATTCATATTTAAAACAATTCAGGTAGAAATTGACGGAAAGGAATATGTAATTTAGTACAGTAAGTAATGATTTGCTGCAAAGTAGCTTTTTCCTTAGCATATTCTATCAGAAATATAACTTTTTTATCTAAACCAGTAATTTGAGCTTTATGCTCCAATATATGCTGATTAATTTGATGTAAAGAGATGCTATTTTCTACTAATTTCTTAAGTTCAGATACTTGAAGATTTTGGATATATTCGTCTATATCAACATATTCGTCTATTTCCATTTTACCATTTTTAATAGTATCTTCTAAGTCTAGTACGATAGGCACTTTTTTTGTTTCCATCGCCCTCAACTCTGATAAGCTCATGGACTGCAACAAATCATCTAATTCTTCTATATTTTTATTCATCTGACTCACTATAAGCGGTGATAACAATAATATTTTGATGCTCATCAAGCCTAAAAATAACAGATAAATGTTCTGCTTTTAATCTAAGTTTATCATTAGGCTGAAAATCAACAAATCCTTTTATAATAAAACTATCTTTAAAAGGTGGTTCTGCTGGGATAAGTTCAACATCTTTATTCCTAAATAAAGCATTAATGGCTAAAAAAGAAATATTTCTCCGCTTCAGAACAATATTCTCTGCAATATGATTCAAATGCTTGGGAAGCCACTTAAAACTAAGTTTTTTCATAGCTTTATCTATATCACTCATTCAATCGTTCTAAGTTTATTGTAAAAAAATTATTCCCAAAGTTTCCAAGCAGCATTATTATTTTCCCAAAGTTCTTCCAATTCTATTTTATCGCGCATAGCATCCATACACTTCCAAAAACCATAATGCCGATAAGTCATCAATTCGCCATCATTGGCTATTTCTACCAAAGGCTTTTTTTCCCATTGTATCGAATCCATGTTTCCATCTAAATATTTAAATATACCTGGTTCTAAAACAAAGAAACCACCATTTATCCAAAGTCCGTCGCCATCTGGTTTTTCTTGAAAATGAATAATACGACCATGTTTATCTGTTTCTAAGTTGCCAAACCTACCTGGCATTTGAATAGAAGTTAAAGTAGCTAAACGCCCATGTTTTTGATGAAATTGTACTAAGGCGGGAATATTAATATCAGAAAGTCCATCACCATACGTCAGCATAAATGTTTCATCACCGACATATTTTTGTATTCTTTTTAATCGCCCTGCGGTATTCGTTTCCAAACCAGTATCAATTAAAGTTACTTTAAAAGATTCTGTATTAGCAAAATGAACATTTATTTTATTAGAGCCTACTTCTACGGTTAGGTCAGAATTATACATAAAGTAATTTAAAAAATATTCTTTTATCATATATCCTTTGTAACCTAAGCATATTACAAAATCATTGTATCCGTAATGAGAATATATTTTCATAATGTGCCAGAGCATGGGTTTTCCGCCTATTTCTACCATAGGTTTAGGTCTGGTGGTCGTTTCTTCGGCAAGTCTTGTGCCGAGTCCTCCAGCAAATATAACTACTTTCATAGAAAATAATTTAGTTTGGAAAGATTCATTATTTTTGTTTGCACTTTTGTTTCAATGCCACGAGTATTTTTATACTAATCTAGATATTCACAAAAACAACCTAAAAATCCATTCTTTGTTTTCCGATATTCATCCTTACACCTCCGCCGAAATAACTTGTTTTTTGATTTTTTGTTTTATCTGCACTATCTAAATTTCTATAAAAATAATGTGCATCTAAAAATAGATTATGATATAATTGATAACTCATAAAAAAGTGTTGGTTTTAATATAATTGCCACAATCACAAAGCCTCTTTCCACGAATAAAAGTAAATTCGTTTATTACCTTAAAATGTGCAAGTTGCTCAAAAACGAGTTTAGTCTTGGGCAGAAGAAAGGTTAAATTTTCT